GGCGCGGCGACGGAAGGCCCGAGGCAGAAGCAAGAGCGCGGCCCGGCGGCAGCAGGACACAACCCAAACCAAGGCCGGAGGCGGCACAAGAAACAAAAACCCCGCGCCCGCAACGGGAAGAGGGCAAGAGAGAGCGGGAAGCAACGCCGGAAGCCGCAGAAAAACGCCGCCACACGCCGCGACCACACAAACGGAACAGCCGGGCGAGGCAACCGAGCAAAGGCGCGGCGAAGGAGAAAACCCGCAACAAAACGCCTAGAGAGCCGCCAAGCCGACGAAGCACGAAGCGCAGGCACAGAGGGGGCCGGCCAAGCACGAAGAGCCGCAAGCGGCGCGGACAACCCGAAGACCCGCCGGGACACCACGGGGCCCCAAGAAGGCGACAGACGCAAGCCAAAACGCGCACGGGGAGAACGGGGCAGAAAGCCGCGGAGCGCGCAAAGGCGGGAGCACGAGCCGCAAAGGCGGCGCAGGCGCACGCCGGCGCCCGAGGAGACCAGAGGGCAGCAAGGAAGACAAGGACAAAGAAAGCAAGGAGGCCGAACACACGGGCAGCAAGCCAGAAGGCGGCAGGGGCGGAGGCAACCCAAAAGACAGCACAAGGAACGCAGAGGGCCAGAACGAGCCGAAAGGCGGCGGAGGGAGGCCGCGGCCCGAAGCCGCAACGGGGGGAGCCGGACGAAAGCAAGCGGAGAAAACACGGCCACCCGGAAGGGAGCAAACAAAGCAGCAAGACGAGGCAGGGGGAACGGGCCACCGGCACCGGGGCAGCGGCCGGAGGCAAGACACCAAGCGCAGAGACCGGCCGGCGCGGCACGAAGAGGACGGGGCACCCCAAGGCGAGACACGAGGCCGAAGGAAGCCCGGAGCGAAGAGAGCCGGAAGCGGAACACGGAGCGCCGGGAGCGCGACGGGGGCCAGACGGACGGGGGAGAGAAAGGGCGGAGGGCCCGGCGCGACGCAAGAGAAAAGCAAGGGCACGAGCAGGAGGGAGACCAGGCAGAGCGGCAGGAAACACAGCGGAAACGCCGAACAAGAGGACGGAAGCAACGGAGGACCCGCCCGACGAACAGCCGAACAGAAGCGAAAGAAGCCAAACACCCGCGAGCCACAACCGCGGGGCCCGAACAAAAGAGAGCACCCCAACGGCGGGCGACACAAGAGCCCGGCCACACCACGGGGGAAGACCAGGCAGGGCGAAAGGAACGGCGGAGCAGAGCAAGCCAAGACCGCAGGGGGGAGAGAACCAAGCCAGACCCAAAAGCAAAGCAAAAGCCACCAGGCAAGCAAAAGAGAGCAACCCGAGGGGCGCGCCGCGGAAGAGGCACCACACAGGAGCGAAAGACCGGAGCCACGACGAAAGAAGCACCGACGGGGGGAAACACGCAACGGCGCAACCAAGAGCGCGGGAGCAGACGCAAGCGAGAGCACAAGAAACAGAAGAGAGGAAGAAGGAGAGCCGGGAGCAAAGAAGGCGGAGGCGGGCGGAGGGCAGAAGAACACGGACCGGGGAGCACAGCGGCCGAGGCGCAGCAGCGGCGCGAGCGGGAGCGGCAGAAAAGGGGCCGGGACGCCCCGACCCGGGGCAGCGGCGCGGCCCCCGAACGGCCGCCGCGGGGACCACCCCGGAGACCCGGGGGACCACCCCGACGGGCCGGCCCGGGCCGCGGCCGCGAGCGGGAGGGGCGGGCGCAGGCCGAGCGGCCGGGGGAGCGGGGAAGGCGAACCGGCGAGGGGGACACGCGCGGGCCCAAGGAGCGAACGCCCCACACGCAGAACACCCGGGGACGGGCGACGGAGAGCGGGAGGGCGGCGACCCCGGCCAGAAGAACCAGCGGGGAACGAGCGCGGCCCCGACGAGGACCGGCACGAAAACCAAGAGGGGGGGCGGAGCACCCGCCGAGGCCGGGAGAGAGCCGGGAAGGGGCGACGAGACGGACCCGACGGAAACCGCGGCGGAGAGCGAGCAGAAGACGCGCGGGGGCGGAAACGGCGCCGAGCAGGGCGAGCCGCCGGCGAGCGCGCGGGCCGCGGCCCCCGGGGGCCGCGCGACGGAGCGGCGCGAGAGGGCGGGCAGGGCCACGACAGCCAGAAAGGAGCGGCCCGCGGAGACGAAAGACGGAGGCGCAAGCCGCAACGGGAGGCGCAAACCCCGAACAAAACAACGAACCCGCGCCGCCGCAGGAGGGAAGAGCAGGGCGGCAGGCCGGGAGAGCGCGGGGAAGCGGGCCGCAGACGCGGAGACGGGCAGGGAGCCCGGCGCGAACCGAGCAAACGGAGCGCGGAGCGGAGCGGAGGCGCCGGGGAAGAAAGCGGGCCAAGAAGGCCGCGGAAAACGCAGGCCAGGGACCGGGGGAGACCCAGCGGGCCGGGGCGCGAAGGAGGGACGCCACCACGGCCGGCGGGACCGGCGAACGGGGAAGCGGGAAGGCGGCGCCGCGCGACGCCACGAAACCCAAAGGCGGGAGCCGCGCGCGGCAAGGAACGAGAAACGCGGGGGCAGCCGCCCCCACGGCCCAGAAAACCGCGGCGGGAGAGGCGAAGGAACACCCCGAGCAGCGGCGGCGCCGGAGGGCAGGACGCCCGCCAAAGCGGCAGGCGGAACAACCGGGGCCGCGAGCGGCGGAACAACCGGGACCGCGGGGGAGGCGGGCCCGGCGGGACGGGAACGGCGGAGCGGGGCCGGCGGCAGACCCCCAAGGGCAGCGAGGAGCGGGACGAGCAGCGCCGGGAGAGCGGGAGCGGCCACAGGCGCGGGCGGGGGCGGGGCGGGGCCCGGCCCAGCGGGGCGGCGGGGCGGGAGCGGGGGGGCGCGAGCACCGGCGCCGGAGGGGGCGCGCGGGCCGGGGGGGGCGGGACGCGGGCACGACCGCGAGGGCGGCCGCGACCCCGAGCGGGGGCCCGACCACGCGGGCGAGCCAGCCCGAGAAAAGAGGGGACAAGGAAGAGGGCAGAAACCGAGAAGACACACAAGGCACGACAGGGAGACAAAAGCGACACGGGCCGAAAGACAGCCGGGAGCCGCCCGAAGAGAAGGAACGGACGGCGCCGGACCGAGCGGCAGGACGCGACGAGACGGGAGCGCGGGACAAGGGAGACCGACGAACCGGGGCGCGGAGACCAAGGGGCACGACCCGAGGGACAAGGCAGGAGGGCACCGACGAGAACCCACCAGCAGGGAAGCCAACCCGGAACCCGGAACAACAAGGAAGGGGGCGGAGGGGAGAAAGAAACAAGAGGAGGCAAAGAACAAGAGAAACAGGCGGAAGCAAACCAAAACAGAGAGACAAAGAAAGAGCCCGCCCAGAACCGGGAAGGCACAGGACAGAGCGACGACAAAAGGAGGACAAGGCCCAAAACGGGACAACAGAGACGGGACGGGCGCGAAAGGAAAAGACAAGGCGAGAGAGACAGAGGGAGACGGAAAGAGGACAAAACGCCGGGGGCGCACCCCCGGCGCCGAGAAGGCGACGCCAAGCGCGAGCAACGCGGGCGACGAGGGCGCGGACCGGCAGCACAAAAGAGAGGCAGAGCGGAGCAGGAGGACCAAAACAACAGGGACCCAGGAGGCAGCAGGGCCGACGGAGCAAGAGAAGCAAAAGGGAACGGAAAGGCAAAGAAAGGGGCACAGCAAGGGCAAAGAGGAGGAAAGGGGGGAGGACACGAGCGGACAGGCAACAAAGACAAGGAAGCGAACGAACGCCGCCGGGCGCCCAGAAACCCGACGGGGACGCGCGGGCACAAGAAAAGAAACCACCGGCACGGACCCCCAGAAGCCCGGCAGAGGCACGGCAGGGAAGGAAAAGAAGGGAGCGAGAAGGGCGAGCACAAGAGGACCAAGGCCGGACGGGAACGAACCAGGCCCAAGAGAGCCAAGAGCGCAGGACGGCCCGGACGGAAGCGGAAGCGCGCCAACCGCCAAAACCGCAACCGACAGAGGAGAGGAAGCAAGACGAAACGGAAGCGGGAGGGAGGAAGGGGGAAGACACCACGGGCAAGCGGGACCACGGACGCGAACCGGGACGAGAGCGAAGGAGGCAACCGAGAGGGGCGGGACCACGGACGCGAACCGGGGGGGAGCCAAAGGGCGGGCACGGGGGGCGGGACCACGGACGCGAACCGGGGACGGGAGCCAAAACCAGAGCACAGGGAAGCGGGACCACGGACGCGAACCGGGGACGGGAGCGAAGCCGGGACAGAAGGAAGCGGGACCACGGACGCGAACCGGGGACGGGAGCGAAGAGAAAAGCAGGGCAGGAGGGAGACAAGGGCAGAAGCGGAGGACCGACGAGCAGACGCAAGGCGGCGAGAGCAGGCGACAAGGAGCGGACCGGCCGAAACGACGGCGGAAAAAGGGCGACGGCCCAACGACAGCCGAAAGCGCGCAAGGCGAGGGCAACACGAGGCGAAGCCGAGACGAAGGCCAAACAGACGGCAAAGCAAGAGGAGCAGAGACACCACAAGAGAGGGAGAGGCAAGAAGAGCAAGAGACAGGCGGGCAGAAGCCAACACGGCCCGAAAGAAGGGCGAAGGCAGGAAGGAGAGAAAGGGAGCAGGCGCGACACCCGAACCCCGCCAGACGCAAGCAAAGCAAGAAACAAGGCCGAAACAGGCGCAAGCGCACGAGAGAAACCAGAGCCGACCGGAAAGCCGACCACGCGGGCGCCAACGCACGGGACCGGAGCGGGCCCGCCGAACGGGCGCCAAAGGCGGCCCCACGAACAAAAGGGGAAGCACCGCGGCAGGACGAAGAGAGGGACACGAAAAGGAGAGGGGGCGGAGACGGACCCAAAAGCGGGGCGAAAACGGGAGGGGGGGCCCACAAGGGGAAGCGCAAAACGAAGCCGGGGAAACGGCCCAAAGACCGGACGAAACGAAGACCCCAAAAGGGAGCACAAACAGAGGCCGAAAACACCGCAAAGCAGCCACAACAAGGAAAAGGGCAGCCCCGGGAGCACCAAGGGCGGAAAAACGAGACCCGGGCAACCCAAACAGAGGAGACCACGACGAGCCGGGCGAAAAACGCGACAAGGGAGCCGCAAGAAGGACGCAAAACGGACGAAGAGGAGCAAGAGCGCACAGGGCAAAAGGCAACAACAAGGCAAGCCGGAAAGCACCCGGCAGGGGCGAAAAGGAGGCGGACCGCAAACGAAGCCGCCCCGCGCGGGGCGGAGAGCACCGCGAGAGGCCCCGCGAAAGGCGCGGGAAGGGGCCGGGGAAGCACGGAAGGGGGACGCAAAAGGAAGGAGCAAGCGGAGGGGAAGGGAGGAAAAAAAAGGGACGAAAGGCGGCCGAAAGGCGGGAAAGGGCCAGAGGGCCACGCCGCGGCCACGGGGCGGCCGGGCGCGGCCACGGCACCGCCGCGGCAAAAGGCGACAACCCGGCAAACGGAAAGGGCGAGGGGCGGACGCGGGCGGAGGCGGAAAAAGACAAACCGAGAGGGAAGCGGAGGGGAAAGAGAGGGCGGACGCAACGGGGAAGGCGGAAGGGCCAGGGGGAGCGCGCGGCGAGGAAAAGGGGGGCCCACACCCAGGAGCGGGGGAACCAGAGGCCACAACGGCCAGCGAAAGCCGCGGGAAGGGAACAAAGGGGCGGGCGAGACCAAAAGCGAGCGGCCGAAGCGAACCGAGCGGGCAGAAGGGCAGCGGAGCACGGCGGCCAAGAAGGGGGACCAAAGGCAACGGGGCAAGGGAGAAAAAGCGCCAAAACAGGGAAACGGGCCGAAAACCCAAACGAACGACCAGGCGACCGAACAGGCAGGGCCAGCAAGGCAGAAAGGACGGGGGGGCGCGACAGGAAGGCGCGAGACGAGGGAAAGAAGGCGGGAAGGGAAAAAGGACCGGGAGGGGCAGGACAAGAGCCACGACGAAAAGAACGGGCGGCCGCGAAAGGAAGAGGCAAGAAGGACCGGAAGGCGCAAAGAAGCGGGGAACGGGCCCGCAGCGCAGGCGCGGCGCCCAGGGAGCCGCCGCAACGGGACGAGGGCGCCAACGGACCGGAACAACAGGAAGGGCGCGCGAGCGCAAGCGCCGCACAGCGCGGGCGAGAAGGGCAACGGGCGCCGCGACAAAGGGCAAACGAGCAGCCAACGCGACGGCAGCAGACGGGAGCACAGGGACGCAGCAGGAACAGACCGCCGCAACAGCGAAACAGGAAACACGGGGGGAGGGCGGAAAAGCGGGAGGAGGGCCAACGCAGAAGCAACCGCCCCAACGGGCCGGAGGAGCGCAAAGGGCCCAAGGACCGGGGCGAAGCGGGCCCCGCCGCCCAAACCGCAGCACGCCCGGCAGGGGCGACACACGGAGGAAGACCCGAGCACCAACAGAGAAGCGCAAAGGCCGGCGCCGCGAGCCGCAGAACGCGGGGGCCGACGCGGAGCCGGCCGGAGCCGAGCCGGAAGCACCCGCACCGGAGCCAGGGCCGCCGGAAGCAAAGCGGACCACGCGGCCGAGGCGCGGGAGACGCAAACCAACCAACGGGAGAGCGACAACGCCGACCAGAGAAGGCCGCGAAGGGGGCCAGCGGAAGACGGAGGGGGAGCGGGGGAGACGCAAACGCGGCCAAAGGCAAGAACGGGGCCCACGGACCGCCAAAAGCCAGAACACAAGCCCGCAACAGGCCGCAAGAACCGGAAGCGGGCGCGCCGACGGACCAGCAGGCGGGGGGGAAAGCGGGCGAAGGGCAACACGGGGACCCAACGCAGCCGGGAAGGCCGCCAGAAGCGAGAGGGAACGGGGGCCCCGAGCGGAGAGGAGGAAACAGGCACACCAGGAAGACGAACCACCGCGCGAAGGAGAGACGGGCAACCGCGCAGCACGGAGGAAGGAGGACAGGAAGGAAGGGGCGGACGGAGGCAACCGAGCCACGAGGACCCAAAGGCGGCAACACCGCGAGAAGGCCGAGGAACCCCACAACGAAGGCCAGAGGGAGACGCGCCCACGGCCACGCCGGAAGGGGAAGCGCGGAACGCGCCACCAGGCCGCAAAGGCGCGGCCGGACCGGCGGGCAGCACAAGCAACGGGAAACAAAGGCAGCAAGAGCGCGCCGCAGGCCACGCCACCAGGAAGGGGCCGCAAGCACGAGACAGCGGCGCGGGCCCGGAGGGAGAGAGGAGCGAGACGCAGGGCCGCAGAAAGGAGCAACGGGAGCAAAGCCCCAACGCGGGAACACAGAGGCGGCCGGCAAGCGCAACACGCCAGCAGGAGCGAAGGGAGCCGGACCACCAGCACCCGCGAACACGCGAGCGCGAAGGGCCACCAAGGCCGCAGCCGCAAACGGACAACCACGGAGCCGAGCAAGCAAGGAAGACGGAACGCCCAGAGGCCAAGACACGGCGAGAAGCGGAGAGAGCCAACCGAAGCAGGCGAGGGCGAAGACGGAAGGGCCAAGCAAGGGGCGCGCCGCAACAGAGAAGAAGGCGAGACGACCCAGACGCACGGCCGGCGGCGCAAGGCGGCCGCGACCACAGGCGCCGGGCCCGGAGGAGAGAGAAGAGAGAGGGCAGAGGCCGGCAGGAGCGCAAGCCAACGACGCGGCCGCGAAGGAAGGGCCCGCGGGCGCAGGAGGGACGGAAGACGCCGGGGAGCGGAGAGAGCGCACAGCGAACGCCAGACAGGAGGCCGCCAAAGCGGAAGGGCAAAAACACCGCCGCCAACGCGAAGGCAGGGGGGGGAGGGGCGCGCGGAGCGGAAGCGGCCGCGACGCAGAAGCAAGAACCCGGCCCGGCGGCAGCAAGACACAACCCAAACCAACGCCGGAGGCGGCACAAGAACCGGAAGCCCGCGCCCGCAACGGGAAGAGGCAAGAGAGGAGCGGGGGCAAGAACGCCGGAGCCGCAAAAAGCGCGCCGCACACGCCGCGACCAAACAAAGGAACAGCCGGGCGAGGCAACCGAGGCAAAGGCGCGGCGAGAGGAGAAAAGCCCGCAACAAAACGCCGAGAGGAGCCGGCCAAGCCGACGAAGCGACGAAGCGCAGGCACAGAGGGGGGCCGGGCCAAGCACGAAGAGCCGCAAGCGGCGCCGGAGCAACCCGAAGACCCGCCGGGGACACCACGGGCCCCAAGAAGGCGACAGACGCAAGCCAAAACGCGCACGGGGAGAACGGGGCAGAAAGCCGCGGAGCGCGCAAAGGCGGGAGCACGAGCCGCAAAGGGGCGCAGGCGCACGCCGGCGCCGCGAGGAGACCAGGAGGGCAGCAAGGAAGACAAGGACAAAGAAAGCAAGGGAGGCCGGAACACACGGGCAGCAAGGCCAGGAAGGCGGCAGGGGCAGGAGGCAACCCAAACGACAGCACCAAGAACGCAGAAGGGCCAGAACGAGGCCGAAAGGCGGGCGGAGGGACGGCCGCGGCCCGAAGCCGCAACGGGGGGAGCCGGAGCGAAAGCAAGCGGAGAAAAGACCACGGCACCCGGAAGCGGAGCAAACAAAGCAGCAAGACGAGGCAGGGGGAACGGGGCGGCACCGGCACCGGGGGCAGCGGCCGGGAGGCAAGACACAAGCGCAGAGGACCGGCCGGCGGCGGCACGAAGAGGACGGGGGCACCCCAAGGCGAGACACGAGGCCGAAGGAAGCCCGGACCCAAGAGAGCCGGAAGCGGAACACGGAGCGCCGGGAGCGCGGCAGGAGCCAGCCGAGAGGGCGGAAGAGAAAGAGGCGAGGACCGGGCGCAAGCGCAAGCGGAAAAGCAACAGCACGCGCGGGGGGAGGCCAGGGAGAGCAGGAGGAAACACAGCGAGGAAGCACGAACAACAGGAACGGACGCAACCGGAGGAACCGCCCGACGCACAGCACGACAGAGGCCAAAGAGGAAAGCACCGCGAGCCACGAGCCGCCGAGCACGAAAAAAGAGAGAACCCCAACGGGGGGCGACCACGAGAGCCCGGCCACACCACGGAGGAAGACCGGAGGGCGAAGGAACGGGCGGAGAAAGCAAGCGAAAACGCGCGAGAAGGGGAGAACCAAGCCAGGCCCAGAAGCACAGCAAAAGCAACCAGGGCAAGCAAAGAAGGGCAGCCCGGGGGCACGCCCCGGAGAGGAACGAAGCAAGAGCGAAAGACCGGAGCCACGACGAAAGACGCACCCACGGGGGGCGACACACGCAACGGCGCGACCAGAGGCGCAGACAGCAACGCAAGCGAGAGCAGAGAAACAGAACAGACGAAAAAGGAGAGCCGGGAGCAAAGAAGCCAAGGCGGGCGGGGGCAGAAGAACACGGGACCGGGGAGCACAGCGGCCGAGGGCGCAGCAGCGGCGCGAGCGGGAGCGGCAGAAAAGGGGGCCGGGACGCCCCGACCCGGGGCAGCGGCGCGGCCCCCGAAGCGGCCGCCGCGGGGACCACCCCGGAGACCCGGGGGACCACCCCGACGGGCCGGGCCCGGGCCGCGGCCGCGAGCGGGAGGGGCGGGCGGAGGCCGAACGGCCGGGGGAGCGGGGAAGGCGAACCGGCGAGGGGGACACGCGCGGGCCCAAGGAGCGAACGCCCCACACGCAGAACACCCCGGGGACGGGCGACGGAGAGCGGGAGGGCGGCGACCCCGGCCAGAAGAACCCAGCGGGGAACGAGCGCGGCCCCGACGAGGACCGGCACGAAAACCAAGAGGGCGGGGCGGAGCACCCGCCGAGGCCGGGAGAGAAGCCGGGAAGGGGCGACGAGACGGACCCGACGGAAACCGCGGCGGAGAGCGAGCAGAAGACGCGCGGGGGCGGAAACGGCGCCGAGCAGGGCGAGCCGCCGGGCGAGCGCGCGGGCCGCGGCCCCCGGGGGCCGCGCGACGGAGCGGCGCGAGAGGGCGGGCAGGGGCCACGACAGCCAGAAAGGAGCGGCCCGCGGAGACGAAAGACGGAGGCGCAAGCCGCAACGGGAGGCGCAAACCCCGAACAAAACAACGAACCCGCGCCGCCGCAGGAGGGAAGAGCAGGGCGGCAGGCCGGGAGAGCGCGGGGAAGCGGGCCGCAGACGCGGAGACGGGCAGGGAGCCCGGCGCGAACCGAGCAAACGGAGCGCGGAGCGGAGCGCGGAGGCGCCGGGGAAGAAAGCGGGCCAAGAAGGCCGCGGAAAACGCAGGCCAGGGGACCGGGGGAGACCCAGCGGGCCGGGGCGCGAAGGAGGGACGCCACCACGGCCGGGCGGGACCGGCGAACGGGGAAGCGGGGAAGGCGGCGCCGCGCGACGCCACGAAACCCAAAGGCGGGAGCCGCGCGCGGCAAGGAACGAGAAACGCGGGGGCAGCCGCCCCCACGGCCCCAGAAAACCGCGGCGGGGAGAGGCGAAGGAACACCCCGAGCAGCGGCGGCGCCCGGAGGGGCAGGACGCCCGCCAAAGCGGCAGGCGGAACAACCGGGGCCGCGAGCGGCGGAACAACCGGGACCGCGGGGGAGGCGGGCCCGGCGGGACGGGAACGGCGGGAGCGGGGGCCGGCGGCAGACCCCCAAGGGCAGCGAGGAGCGGACGAGCAGCGCCGGGAGAGCGGGAGCGGCCACAGGCGCGGCGGGGGCGGGGCGGGCCCGGGCCCAGCGGGGCGGCGGGGCGGGAGCGGCGGGGGCGCGAGCACCGGCGCCGGAGGGGCGCGCGGGCCGGGGCGGGGCGGGAGCGCGGGCACGACCGCGAGGGCGGCCGCGACCCCGAGCGGGGGCCCGACCACGCGGGCGAGCCAGCCCGAGAAAAGAGGGGACAAGGAAAGGGCAGAAACCGAGAAGACACACAAGGCACGACAGGGAGACAAAAGCGACACGGGCCGAAAGACAGCCGGGAGCCGCCCGAAGAGAAGGAACGGACGGCGCCGGACCGAGCGGCAGGACGCGACGAGACGGGAGCGCGGGACAAGGGAGACCGACGAACCGGGGCGCGGAGACCAAGGGGCACGACCCGAGGAGCAAGGCAGGAGGGCACCGACGAGAACCCACCAGCAGGGAAGCCAACCCGGAACCCGGAACAACAAGGAAGGGGGCGGAGGGGAGAAAGGAAACAAGAGGAGGCAAAGAACAAGAGAAACAGGCGGAAGCAACCAAAAACAGAGAGACAAAGAAAGAGCCCGCCCAGAACCGGGAAGGCACAGGACAGAGCGACGACAAAAGGAGGACAAGGCCCAAAACGGGACAACAGAGACGGGACGGGCGCGAAAGGAAGAAGACAAGGCGAGAGAGACAGAGGGAGACGGAAAGAGGACAAAACGCCGGGGGCGCACCCCCGGCGCCGGAGAAGGCGACGCCAAGCGCGAGCAACGCGGGCGACGAGGGCGCGGACCGGCAGCACAAAAGAGAGGCAGAGCGGAGCAGGAGGACCAAAACAACAGGGACCCAGGAGGCAGCAGGGCCGACGGAGCAAGAGAAGCAAAAGGGAACGGAAAGGCAAAGAAAGGGGCACAGCAAGGGCAAAGAGGAGGAAAGGGGGGAGGGACACGAGCGGACAGGCAACAAAGACAAGGAAGCGAACGAACGCCGCCGGGCGCCCAGAAACCCGACGGGGACGCGCGGGCACAAGAAAAGAAACCACCGGCACGGACCCCCAGAAGCCCGGCAGAGGCACGGCAGGGAAGGAAAAGAAGGGAGCGAGAAGGGCGAGCACAAGAGGACCAAGGGCCGGACGGGAACGGAACCAGGCCCAAGAGAGGCCAAGAGCGCAGGACGGCCCGGACGGGAAGCGGAAGCGCGCCAACCGCCAAAACCGCAACCGACAGAGGAGAGGAAGCAAGACGAAACGGAAGCGGGAGGGAGGAAGGGGGAAGACACCACGGGCAAGCGGGACCACGGACGCGAACCGGGGACGAGAGCGAAGGAGGCAACCGAGAGGGGCGGGACCACGGACGCGAACCGGGGGGGGAGCCAAAGGCGGGCACGGGGGGGCGGGACCACGGACGCGAACCGGGACGGGAGCCAAAACCAGAGCACAGGGAAGCGGGACCACGGACGCGAACCGGGGACGGGAGCGAAGCCGGACAGAAGGAAGCGGGACCACGGACGCGAACCGGGACGGGAGCGAAGAGAAAAGCAGGGCAGGAGGGAGACAAGGGCAGAAGCGGAGGGACCGACGAGCAGACGCAAGGCGGCGAGAGCAGGCGACAAGGAGCGGACCGGCCGAAACGACGGCGGAAAAAGGGCGACGGCCCAACGACAGCCGAAAGCGCGCAAGGCGAGGGCAACACGAGGCGAAGCCGAGACGAAGGCCAAACAGACGGCAAAGCAAGAGGAGCAGAGACACCACAAGAGAGGGAGAGGCAAGAAGAGCAAGAGACAGGCGGGCAGAAGCCAACACGGGCCCGAAAGAAGGGCGAAGGCAGGAAGGAGAGAAAGGGAGCAGGCGCGACACCCGAACCCCGCCAGACGCAAGCAAAGCAAGAAACAAGGCCGAAACAGGCGCAAGCGCACGAGAGAAAGCCAGAGCCGACCGGAAAGCCGACCACGCGGGCGCCAACGCACGGGACCGGAGCGGGGCCCCGCCGAACGGGCGCCAAAGGCGGCCCCACGAACAAAAGGGGAAGCACCGCGGCAGGACGAAGAGAGGGACACGAAAAGGAGAGGGGCGGAGACGGACCCAAAAGCGGGGCGAAAACGGGAGGGGGGGCCCACAAGGGAAGCGCGAAAACGAAGCCGGGAAAACGGCCCAAAGACCGGACGAAACGAAGACCCCAAAAGGGAGCACAAACAGAGGCCGAAAACACCGCAAAGCAGCCACAACAAGGAAAAGGGCAGCCCCGGGAGCACCAAGGGCGGGAAAAACGAGACCCGGCAACCCAAACAGAGGAGACCACGACGAGCCGGGCGAAAAACGCGACAAGGGAGCCGCAAGAAGGACGCAAAACGGACCGAAGAGGAGCAAGAGCGCACAGGGCAAAAGGCAACAACAAGGCAAGCCGAAAAGCACCCGAGCAGGAGCGAAAAGCGAGGCGGACCGCAAACGAAGCCGCCCCGCGCGGGCGGAGAGCACCGCGAGAGGCCCCGCGAAAGGCGCGGGAAGGGGCCGGGGGAAGCACGAAGGGGACGCAAAAGGAAGGAGCAAGCGGAGGGGAAGGGGAAGGAAAAAAAGGGACGAAAGGCGGCCGAAAGCGGGAAAGGGCCAGAGGCCACGCCGCGGCCACGGGGCGGCGCGGGGCGCGGCCACGGCACCGCCGCGGCAAAAGGCGACAACCCGGCAAACGGAAAGGGCGAGGGGCGGACGCGGGCGGAGGCGGAAAAAGACAAACCGGAGAGGGAAGCGGAGGGGAAACGAGAGGGCGGACGCAACGGGGAAGGCGGAAGGGCCAGGGGGAGAGCGCGGCGAGGAAAAGGGGGCCCACACCCAGGAGCGGGGGAGCCAGAGGCCACAACGGCCAGCGAAAGCCGCGGGAAGGGAACAAAGGGCGGGCGAGACCAAAAGCGAGCGGCCGAAGCGAACCGAGCGGCAGAAGGGCAGCGGAGCACGACGGCCAAGAAGGGGACCAAAGGCAACGGGGCAAGGGAGAAAAAGCGCCAAAACAGGGAAACGGGCCGAAAACCCAAACGAACGACCAGGCGACCGAACAGGCAGGGCCAGCAAGGCAGAAAGGAGGGGGGCGCGACAGGAAGGCGCGAGACGAGGGAAAGAAGGCGGGAAGGGAAAAAGGACCGGAGGGCAGGACAAGAGCCACGACGAAAAGAACGGGCGGCCGCAAAGAAAGACAAGAAGGACCGGAAGGCGCAAACAAGCCGGGAAACGGGCGCGCAGCGCCGGCGCGGCGCCCAGGAGCCGCCGCGACGGGACGAGGCCGCCAACGGACCGAACAACAGGAAGGGCGCGCGAGCGCAAGCGCCGCACAGCGCGGGCGAGAAGGGCAACGGGCGCCGCGACAAAGGGCAAACGAGCAGCCAACGCGACGGCAGCAGACGGGAGCACAGGGACGCAGCAGAACAGACCGCCGCAGCAGCGAAACAGGAAAACACGGGGGGAGGGCGGAAAAGACGGAGGGAGGGCCAACGCAGAAGCAACCGCCCCAACGGCCGGAGGAGCGCAAAAGGCCAAGACCGGGGCGAAGCGGGCCCCGCCGCCCAAACCGCAGCACGCCCGGCAGGGGCGACACACGGAGGAAGACCCGGCACCAACAGAGAAGCGCAAAGGGCGACGCCCGAGCAGCAGAACGCGGGGCCGACCGGGAGCCGGCCGGAGCCTAGCCGGAAGCACCCGCACCGGAGCCAGCCGCCGGAAGCAAAGCGGACACGCGGCCGGGGCGCGGAGACGCAAACCAACCAACGGGAGAGCGACAACGCCGACCAGAGAAGGCCGCGAAGGGGCCAGCGGAAGACGCGAGGGGGAGCGGGGGGAGACGCAAACGCGGCCAAAGGCAAGACGGGGCCCACGGACCCCCAAAAGCCAGAACACAGGCCCGCAACAGAGCCGCAAGGACCGGAAGAGGACGCGCGGACGGACCAGCCGGGGGGGGGAAAGGGGGGCGAAGGGGACACGGGGCCCAACGCCGCCGGAAAAGCCCGCCAAAAGCGGGAAGGGAACGGGGAACCCCGAGCGGAAAGAGAGAAACAGGCACACCAGGAAGACGAACCACCGCCCGAAGGGAGAGACGGCAACCGCGCGGCACGGAAGGAGGAGGAACAGGAAGGAAGGGGGCGGACGGGGCAAGCGAGCCACGAGGACCCAAAGGCGGCAACACCGCGAGAAGGCCGAGGCAACCCCACAACGAAGGCCAGAGGGAGACGCGCCCACGGCCACGCCGGAAGGGGAACGCGGGAACGCGCCACCAGGCCGCAAAGGCCGGCCGACCGGCGGCAGCACAAGCAACGGAAACAAACACAAGAGCGCGCCGCAGGCCACGCCACCAGGAAGGCGGCCGCAAAGCACGAGACAGCGGCGCGGGGCCCGGAGGGAGAGAGGAGCGAGACGCAGGGGCCGCAGAAAGGAGCAACGGGAGCAAAGCGCCAACGCGGGAACACAGAGGCGGC